GGTAGCCCCTTCGGGGGGCTGGTGTGGAGGGGGATGGAGTTAAACCAGCGTGGTCTGGGGGTGGGGTAGCCCCTTCGGGGGGCTGGTGTGGAGGGAGATGGAGTTAGCCCAGCGTGCGCGCGTAAAGCACTCGGAAGTGCTGGGCTTGTTAGCGTCAGCCACTGCCGCTGTTTGTTGCCGTTGGTAATAGTAAGAAGCTCTGACTGAAGCGATCTGACGTTTCTGGTCGTGACTCAAGGCTTTTACTTCCTTTTACTCCTACTTTTTGTATCTGTGCCGTTGGCAGCTTGGCAAGGCTCCTGGATTGTTCTTTGGCACTAGAGCGTGGTTTTCTGCCTTTTCCATGGTTTCAGGTCTGAGGGGAGAGAAAGCTAGTGGCGCAGAGTAACAAGGGCTGCCCTTCTCCGGCAGTCCCTGTGCACCAGAGGCTGTGACGTCGCCTCATTCCTTCCAGCTGCCCTCACGGGGTGGGGCAGGCGGGGTTTCCCATTTTGCAGATGTGGAAAGAAGGCTGAGGGATTTGAAGTGAGTACCTTGCCCGAGGTCATCGGTGGTTGGTGGATCTGAATTTGCTTCCAGAGCTGTTTGGCTGCAGAGGCCACACCTAAGCCGTATAGGACTCAGGCTTTCCCCTGTAAAACTGCACACCTGTGGGCTTGAGTGTATTCACAGATGATGTTGGGCCTGCTCAGGGTGGCAGACTGGAAGGAGTCCTGCAGGCCCAGCCTTGCTGGCTGTATGCTTCAGGCAAGTCACTTCACTTTGAACCTTGAACCTCAGTTACGCTGTCTGTAAAATGGGTGACACTTACCAAGCAGATTGCTATGAAGACAAAATGAGTCCACACGCACAGAGCACACAGAAGCCGATGGAAATGGGCATCCACATCCTGCCACGGCTGATTTTGGGCCCAACATCTCTAGCCTTGGTATACAGTTCACCAGACCAGGCTCAGCAGATAAGTAGCACCTCATGGGGTATGTGTTACTAATTCTTGTTAAAATGCAGCATGCCTCAGTTTTTGGCTGATTTCCTATGAAATTGGTGACTTTGACATTCAGGTGCTAGACTCGAAGCTTCATGAGGGCCAGTGTTGTGTTAGGTCACGACTGTGTACCCCGTACAGTGTAGATGCTCAGATACTTGAATCCAGCAAGGAATGAGTCCGTGTTTTCAGTTTCTGGTAAGTGGAAGTAATTTTAGAATTGTAATGAAACCATGTTAAGCCACAGTAGACAGTGTTAAGACATGTGACCATGTACATCCAGGTGTACAGAAACCGCCCCTCCCAACTGCTGCTTGGTGCACATCCTTTTCATAGCCTGTGTATTTTGAGGAAATAATCTATTTCTTTTTACTTTTTAGAGGCCTTTCTGGCTAAGAGAATAATTGCTTGCTGCATAATTTCACCGATAACACCCCTCTTGACAGCTAGTGTCCCTGAAATTCTTTTAGCAATTTCTTACCACCTCATGACAAACATGAAATCTTAGGTTAACGCTACCTTTCTTTGTCCTGTCTTCTCAATGAGATTATCTTCCCTTCAGGGGCAGTCCTGAGAGCCTTGTCTGTAATATCTTGTTAGTTTTCTATAATCATCTTAAATGATTGTGGTTTTGATTTTGCACAGAGCGAAGTACCCACACGTTATTTCAGAAGCACCAACTTGTTCGGCTCTCCTGAGTTCTTCTGGCTGGGTGTTTGGAATGTGGGTCACCAGGTGTGACTGAGCTCTTGTGGTTGCAGTGTGTGGGTGAACCGGTGACCCAGTGGTGTGGAGGCTGCTCTTAGATTTCCAGGGCATGGCAAAACTATTTACATAACAATTTGCGGTGGTGGCTTCCCAGTGGCCATGATAATAATCAGTTACAATTTACAGTGTCCAGAAGACAGAACACATGCCTCTTACCCAGGAGCAGGAGACCTGAGGCAGCGTTTGATGATGAGATCCTTTATTATTTCCCCACCAGCGAGGGAAGCGCACAGTCGTGTCATAAAGCAGTGGTCTCAACTTTGGAACTCTAAGACCCCTTTAGGTTGGGCGCAGTGGCTCACACCTGTAATCCCACCACTTTGGGAGGCTAAAGCAGGTGGATCACCTGAGGTCAGGAGTTCAAGACTAGCCTGGCCAACATGGTGAAAACCCGTCTGTACTAAAAATACAAAAAATTAGCCAGCAGTTGTGGTGGGCGCCCCTGGTCCCAGCTACTTGGGAAACTGAGGCAGGAGAATTGCTTGAACCGAGGAGGTGGAGGTTGCAGTGAGCCAAGATCACGCCACTGCACTCCAGCCTGGGCGACAGAGCGAGACTCTTATCTCCAAAAAGACCCCTTTAGTCAGCGGCTTTTCCTTCTGAATAGCAGGAAAGATTTTTGGTGAATTGTCCTCGAAATTGGCTTAAAAGAGTTTCATGACAGAACAACTTTCTTGCGTTCTGAAGACTTCATTCTATCTGAATGGACCTGGAGTCATCCTGGTTTCTTTGTCCTAGGAATATGAAGACAAGGCTGGAAGACCTAGCAAGCCACCCTCTCCAAAGCAGAATGTGAGGAAGAATCTTGACTTTGAACCACTTTCCACCACCGCACTCATCCTTGAGGACAGACCAGCGTGAGTTTAAGAAGAATCTCTGTAGAGTGTTTGCTTTAGGAAATAAGTACAGCTTGCTAAGCACCTTTTTGTTAGAGAAGAACTGGGGTCAGAAAGGGAAGACGAATAAGCCAGAATTACTTCTTACTCCCTATATTAACATGTGTTCTGTAATGATAGTAAATGACCAATTTGGAAAACTGTCCTGTAGCATAGAAGTTTTGACCAGGATTTTCCACGCAGGTGATTTTTCTTTTTTACTTTAGCATTTAAAAATAAGTTGTCGGCTGGGCGCAGTGGTTTACGCCTGTAATCCTAGCACTTTGGGAGGCCGAGGCGGGTGGATCGCTTGAGATCTGGAGTTCGAGACCAGCCTGGCCAACATGGTGAAGCCCTGTCTCTACTAAAAATACAAAAAATAGCCAGGTGTGGTGGCGGGCGCCTGTAATCCCAGCTACTCAGATGGCTGAGGCAGGAGAATCACTTGAACTGGGAGGCAGAGGTTGTGGTGAACCGAGATCCACTCCAGCCTAGGCAGCAAGAGCAAAACTCCATCTCAAAAAAAAAAGAAACAGGGTGTCTTCTAGTGTTAATTCTTATCCTTGAAAATTTGTGTTGGGGAGAGAAATGGAGGACTGGAAAGTTAGAGGCCATCAGGAAAAGACTCTGCCCTTTGAAGACCAGTCGTTTTCATGCTCTGAAAGGTGAACGGGCGGACTCTTCTGCAGCAAGTGATGGTTGTTTAAAATGTCCCAGTGAATGTGGATCCTGTTGTGTGAGGGACACAGGCAGCCAGACACTCCTGCCCTCCCTTTACCCCAGTGCCAGTACAGTCACAAGCACGCTTCTGAAAGAGAGCACGAATTGCATTTTTTCAATGGGTTTTGAAGGTATACCAAGGTGCTTAGAACTAAGGTGCACATCTGTATATGTAAAAAGACAAATGAACCATGTAGCTAGTACAAAATCTTTTCACTTTAAAAATCTGGTCAGGAAATGTCGTCATACATACATGTAACAAATGCTGTTAGAGCGCCCTGCTTCAAGAATTAAGTGTTGACAGTTATTAGGGTATTGCAGTCAAATCAAAGTTTCTTTGGAGTGTGGGGTGAAAATATACCAAAAGATTAAGTGTTTATTACTGTTGCAGTTGTGGATAATTGTTACTTTCTTCCTACTAATCTTTATCATTCTTTTTTTTTTCTTTTTTTCTTTTTCTTTTGAGACGGAGTCTCACTCTGTTGCCCAGGCTGGAGTGCAGTGGCGTGATCTTGGCTCACTGCAACCTCTGCTTCCTGGGTTCAAGTGATTATCCTGCCTCAGCCTCCCAAGTAGCTGGGACTAAAGGCACGTGCCACCATGCCCGGCTAATTTTTGTATTTTTCAGTAGAGACAGGGTTTCACTGTGTTAAATCAGGATGGTCTTGATCTCCTGACCTCGTGATACGCCCGCCTCAGCCTCCCAAAGTGCTGGGATCGCAGGCGTGAGCCACTGTGCCTAGCCCATTCATTTGTTTTATAGTGAACTTGTTTTTGTAAGAAAGTATTATAAAAGCTGGTGTAAGAACTGTGTAATCTTAAAAAAATGAGTTTTCAGTGTTTGAGCTTTCTATGTTTTAGGAAATTATGTTTCAGGTTTTTTTCTCAAAGACTTTTATGTGGTATTTATAATGGTGAAAACTCATTTCTTTCCTATCAAGAAATCTCCCAGCAAAACCAGCTGAAGAAGCTCAGAAGCACAGACAGCAGTATGAAGAAATGGTGGTTCAGGCCAAAAAGCGAGGTAATGGAGTTCACACTTGCTGGGTTAGATCGGGCAGCACAGGATTTGTGTCCTTCTGGTTATTTTCTTTTTACTATTTAGTGTCATAGAACCTGAACTTCAGGCCTTGAAATTTGTAGTCTTCCAAAACAATAAAAATGCATGTGGAAGGCCCCCACAAGTGAAAACGGGGCCGCAGGGTGGCATGGGTGGGCCACAGGGACTCGGGGATGTTGAGGCAGGCAGAGAGGAGAAGCGGTGAGACTGCAGGATTTGCTGGGAGCCTCCCAAGGAGGCCTCTCTCATCCCAGAAGCCCCCCGAGGCTGTCCTGGGTGGGCTGTAAAGCCCCAGGCTTTGGAGCGGGGTGCCTGTGTCTCTCGTGGAAGGTTACTATCCATTCCTGGTAGCTTTATTCAAGAGAAAAGCACTTTGAACTGACATGAGAAAAGTGACTGTGTAAGATAGACATACCAGACTACAGAAGGTTTCAGCCATCAGTGATATGTACACTTCTTTCCCTCTCTGGGTTGTTTTGTTAAATTTCCCAGAAGATGTTTTGATAAAATTCCTTGCAACACTTAAACTCTTTTTCTAGGAGATTTTAAAAATATATAACATGGATGTGAGGCCAGTTTGGCTGTCATATCTGTCACTCCATTGATCACCAGGGTTGATTTGGCTGATCTGCTAGCTAGCCCGGTGTCCCCTTCCCCACTGGCACTCCATGTGGGTCCCTCCTGAAGCTGTGTGTTTGGTCAAAGAGAATGACCATCCCCGATAGAGGACCGGTCTTCAGTCAGGGTGTATGAGTAGCTGCACTCCCCTGCTGGAGCCTCCAGACAGGCTCCATTTGTAGGAGAATGTACAGTCGTCAGGCTTCCAAGACTCCAGACACATCCAAATGAGGCAGTGCATGTGGCAGTCTGCCTTTCTAAAAATAAAAATAAAAAAGACCAGGCACGGTGGCTCACGCCTGTAATCACGGCACTTTGGGAGGCCAAGGAGGGTGGATCACCTGAGGTCGGGAGTTCGAGACCAGCCTGACCAACATGGAGAAACCCTGTCTCTACTAAAAATAAAAAATTAGCCAGGTGTGGTGGAGCATGCCTGTAGTCCCAACTACTCAGGCGGCTGAGGCAGGAGAATCTCTTGAACCCGGAAGGTGGAGGTTGCAGTGAGCCGAGATCATGCCACTCAGCACTCCAGCCTGAGCGACAGAGCGAGACTCTGTCTGAAAAAATAAATAAATAAATAAAAATATATAACAATGTGGTGTATATGTACAGTGGAATAATATTTGGCCTTAAAAAGGAAGGAAATTCTGGCACATGCGGCCACATGAAGGAATCTTGAAGATACCCTGAGTGAAACCAGTCAATCCAAACAGGACACATGATGTGTAATCCACCTCTGTGAGGCCCCTAGAGCAGTCCAACTCACAGACAGAGGGTCGAATGGTGGGTGCCAGGGGCTGGGGAGACAGGGAGTGGGGAGTTAGTGTTTGATGGGGACAGTTTCATTTGGGCCAATGAGAAAGTTCTGGTGATGGATGGTGGTGTGGTTGTGCAGTCGGAATGTTCTTAATGCCACTGAACTGTATAGTTAAAATGGTAAATTTGACCACACACAAAAAGAGTATATGTAAACTAAATGCATGGTATTTCTCAAAGTTGCCATTTGTAGATTAAGAGTAATGCTCAAGGCTGGGTGTGGTGGCTCACACCTGTAATCCCAGTACTTTGGGAGGCCAAGGCAGGCAGTCAGGGGTTTGAGACCAGCCTGACCAACATGATAAAACCGCATCTCTACTAAAAATACAAAAGTTACCTGGGCGTGGTGGTGGGTGCCTGTAATCCCAGCTACTCAGGAGGCTGAGGCAGGAGAATCACTTGAACCTGGGAGGCGGAGGTTTCAGTGAGCCAAGATTGTGTCACTGCACCGCACCCTGGGTGACAGAACAAGACGTCAAAAAAAAAAAAAAAACAGTAACGTTCGAGCTGTTGGAGTCAGCATGGAGCCTGCATTTGGAAGGGGATAGGGCTGGGAGCACAGGAGGGGCTTCTAGTAATGTTCGGTTGTTTTGATCAGGATGGTAGTTTCAGGGATTTTTCTGTTTTGTAGTAACTGAATCATGTTCTTTTTTTTCTTTTTTCTTTTTGAGAGAGAGTCTCGCTCTGTTGCCCAGGCTGAAGTGCAATGGTGCTATCTCGCCTCACTGCAACCTCTGTCACCTGGGTTCAAGCAGTTCTCCTACCTCAGCCTCCCAAGTAGCTGGGACTACAGGCCCCTGCCATCACGCCCAGCTAATGTTTGCATTTTTAGTAGAGATGGGATTTTACCACTTTGGCCAGGCTGGTCTCGAACTCCTGACCTCAGGTGACCCGCCCTTCTTGGCTTCCCAAAGTGCTGGGATTACAGACGTGAGCCCCCGCGCCCGGTCAGCTGAATCATATTCTTCTTTGTGTACTTTCCTGTATAGATGTTACACTTTGCAAGCTTATTAAAGGGTGGATAATGCCTGACCTTCTGGAGTCCATCTGGTGCAAAGTGAGCCCTGGAGCTGATGCTCGCTCTGCTTCAGGGCCGCTTTCCTGGTGTGTTTGCAGTGTGACAGGAAAATCACCTTGCCTGGAAATGGTCCATATCAGTTAGTAGATCGTTGTTTTTCTAAATTGTGATTTCTAGAGCTGAAAGAAGCCCAGCGGAGGAAGAAGCAGCTGGAAGAAAGATGTAGAGTCGAGGAAAGCATTGGAAACGCTGTGCTCACCTGGAATAATGAGATCTTACCTAACTGGGAAACAATGTAAGACATGGCTGTGGGTGCGGCTGAACTGCAGGGCATTTCTGTCTAGAATCTGTGGGCCACAGCCTTGGTCGTCATAGCCAGCAGTGACACCCTGGATGCAGCGCGTTGAAGTTGCGTCATCTTCCTTCCCTCTATGCTGGAGGGGTAGAGACTGTGATAATCTCTTCTCCTCCCTTCCAGTTCACCTTCTTCTCATCTCCTGAGCCAGCTTCTAAAGCATGAGTTGGTGTCACCTCCCTTAACCTAGAATTTCAGTAACTTCCTGTGACTCTCAGTACACAGTTTGAACCCTTAGCTTAGCGGGCAACACCCTTACTGAGGTGGCCTTCCTTCCTCGGCAGCCTCACCCTCGGATGCCTCTCCTTCACTTGGACAGAGCCCTCTCCCTAGGGAGCCCTCCATAGGTGTTGCTGCTTTTAAACCTGGGGCCTCACATGTTCCAGGCCCTGTGCCCAGAATGCTCTTGTCCTGTACCTCCTCAGCCAGCTAACTCCTGTGTGCTCTCCAAAGCTCAGGGAAGACTTCGCTGCACCTACCCTGACTGTAGGGCCCTGTGGTTCTCTGTCCTCACAGCCGTCTGTTTAGGCCTCTGTGTTCCTCTCTTTGAGGATAGTGACCCCAGTGTCCAGTAGAGTGCACCTGGCAGTCTGGCAGCTGCTGCCGTCTTTACATCTGAGGGGCAGCTGTGGATCTTGTTTTTATTCTCGTGTTCAGAACGGTGGGGGCCAGTGTGCAGGCGGAAGTCCCAGGGCTGCACACAGAGGCATTTGGGGAGCTTGGATGCCAGCTTCTCTTCTACTGTCATCCCACATGTCAGCACTGCAGGGGTCACACGGCCCTTCTCAGGGTCTCCACTAGGAAAATATGCTCAGAGCATTCTTTTTAAGGCAGTGTCCTCAAAAGGGTTGATGCTGTCAGGAAATGCTTTATACCCGTTCTCACAGGGGATCTAGTAACAAGAACAGAGGTTCTCAGAATGCTTACTGCTCCCACCGAGGAAGACCACTCTGGTCCATCCTACAGGGCTCTGGGTTGGATGTGGTCTGAATGCATTGCATACAGACCCACAGCAGCTCCCGTTGACTGCACACAGACGCTGCCTGGCACTGTTCTGCGTGCTTTTGTACTTTATCTCACTTCGTCCTCACAGTAGCCCTTGGGTGTAGGTTTCATCATCTTGACTTTCGAGAGGACAGTGTAGGTTTAGAGAGGACAGATGATTTGTCCAGATTCCGCAGGTAAGAATGGAGTTAGGATGCAGCCTGCTTTCTGCAGCTTCATGCCTGTGCTCCCCACGATGCTGCGTTCAGAGGCACCACGTGGGCCTGGTTTGCCCAGGCTGTTGGCAGTGTGTGTTCCTTGTCCCAGCAGAGCTGAAGGACTCTGTACAGTCCAGAATGTTCTGAGTCAGCAGTTCTTCTCTGCAGTTAGAGCGTGCCAGCTCACATCTGGGCGCTGGGCCTGTATTGGCGGTGCGGCAGCCATCTGCTGACTCTGCTGGGGTCTGCTTCTGTCTCCAGTGCTGCCGCAGTGCCGCCTGGCACTCCTCACCCACTCTCAGCTACGTGCTGTTCCTGCAGGAGGCCAGGCCATTGCTCTTTCCTGTGTTTTCTGCTCAGAAAGTCCTTCCCATCCTTCATGTGCCCAGGTCAGTCAGAACTTGGCTCCAGAGTGTACCTGGGCCTCTGGTTCGTGCTGTCCCGTGCTGTGCTGTGCTCTTCCATACCTGCCACGGCAGCTGCCCAGCAGAAGGAGACTGTTGATTTGATCTTTACAGAGCCCTAAACTCTAAGCTTTCTGAGGGCGGGGGCTGTGCCTGCTAACAACGGTGCATCCCAGCTCTTGGTGGTTCGGGGCTAGGCACGCAGGTAGGCAAATGTCTGTGTAGAACAAACTCAAACTCTTGCTTCCATTTTTGTCCAGGTGGTGCTCTAGAAAAGTTCGAGATTTATGGTGGCAGGGAATCCCTCCAAGTGTGAGAGGCAAAGTCTGGAGCTTAGCCATTGGCAACGAGTTAAATATCACCCATGGTAAGTGGCCTGCATGATCCTGGGAGTCCACCCCAGACCCTGTGTCTTCTCTCCCTTTTGCCCTGTTGGAAAGAAAGGCAACCATTGCCATGAATCTGTGTCTTTTGAGAGACCAGGAGACTGTATCCTTCGGGAGAGAGGGGCAGGCGGGAGGCCTGCGTTTAGTGCTGTGCACTCCAGTTACCTGACAGCTCAGTGCGGGAGCCCTTGAGTAGAGGGAGCGTGGAAGACGGGGCTCAGGGCATTGGGGAGGTGCCTGAGCTTCACGGCTCCAAGTCCTAGGAAGGCAAGGCTTGACTGGGAAGTGAGTGTGGAAGGGGCAGGTGGTTCTTGCTGTGAGGGTGTTTGTTGTACTGGGGTGTCTGTTGGTATTTTGTGGGATTTATTTCAGGCAGCATTGGAGGGGACAACATACTGTTCTGGGACTGGGGTCCTTGGGGCTCTGGGGGTTTGTCAGCTGGGTGAAAACCATGCTCAGTGATCTCTCGCTGTATTGCATCTATGCGGTTTGCATGTACACCTCCTCCCTCAGACTGAATTCGCTTCCCCACATGTCCTGAGCACTCTGCAGCGTGTCCAGTGTGTAACAGGTGCCGTGAGCCCACAGTCTTCAAATCAAGTGTTTAATACTGGCAGCCATTCTTTTCACTTCTGCCTCCCTGCCTGCATTCTGAGTTGTGGAAAGACGGGGCTGCGTTCATGCTCTTTCTGGGGCCTAGGACCTGCCTGGGGAGTTGATGATGTGGTTTTTATGCTCATGAAGGCCTCGAGTTTAAATGGTTGGTATCTTCGCTCTCTAGTTGGGGTTTTGATTGTTGTTCTTATCTTGACAGGCCAGCTTAGCGTCATCCCAGGCAGGGTCTCCCCTCGTGGAGCATCAGCCGGCTGGCTGGTGACTGGCTTCTGTGCGGTGCAGTCCTACAGAGGAACGTGGGGGCCCAGAACTCCCTCTTTTGGCTAAATCCATACCTACCAAAACTTTGTTTTAACTTGTCTGTGTGAGAAAATGAGTAACATTTAACTTGTGGAAATGGTTTTTTAAAAGCATCCTCAGAAGTTGAGGTTTGGAGAAATTACTGAGCATTTGTTTCTAAACTCTGTCTCTGCAGATTGGATGGAATGCACAGTCCTTTGTGTGCGCGTTTAATTTGTGCTTCTCACGGATGCCTGGGTGGATTTTATGTAAATTAAAACCTATGGACCATATTGTTTTGGATTGGGCAGAACCGCTGATGAATCAATTACATGTTTAGACACGCGTCTTAGACATTTGTCCGAACCTTGGTATTGGCTCGGTTTGTGTTCATTGTGTCCGTCTTGTATTGTGAGCCGGGCAGTGTCAGCGGCCCCCACTAGCACTGGTGCTCAGGAAGCTGGGCCCTCACCTGCTGTGCTCTCTGCCTGTTCACCCTCACCCAGCCTAGGTCTCTGCATGTGGCAGGCCCTTAAGAAATGCCTGCCGTGTGAATGAATGCCGCCTTATTGGGTCCTGCTTAACCTCGGTTTTACTACATCTCCCAGCCAGTGTAAGAACACAAACTTGATTGCTGAGTACCAAGCATCATATTAGGTTCTTTACTTATGGATCTTATTCAGTATCAACAGTGCGACCTTGACCTCATTTTCCTCTAGAGAAGGCTCAGCATCCTGGAAAGGCTGGGACTGTGCCCAGGTCTCTGGCTCTTGTGTGTGGGGCCAGGACTCTGATCCTAGCCCAGGCTAATCCTAAAGCCCGTGTTCTGACTTGGAGAGCCCCAGAGTTTTGCTCTTGTGGTTGTACAATTGGAAACTTAGTGAAAGTCAACCTAATAGTACTATTAAAACTTCACTTTTAGGGCCTCAGTCAGTCTTGTGCTTTGACGTTGGAGCAGGGGGTCTGGGAATAAGGTGTGGTAGCCGTCCGGCCTCCAGCATTCCCCAGATACACACCAGTAAAACCATGGGGGAGAATCCTAAAACTCTTGACACTTTGACCATTGAATCCCGAGGCTGGTAGCCTGTGTGACTTAACTGTCAAATGTCTCACTTGGGAAGTGATTCCCTGGTGGCCATGGCCACACAATGGTATTCATCCACCTTTGGCCCAAATGACCAAAGCTTGGCCTGCCTCCTAGAGGCCGACAGCAGGTGGAAGTGCCACCAGGTGCATGAGGCACCAGCGCAGAGCAGTGTGGGATTGTCCTGGGAGCATGTGTGCTGACTTACTGCTTTAGATACTGATACTATAATAGTGAAACTAGAATTTGGATTACATTTTAATAAAACAGTGTACACTACCCAGAAGGCAGATATGCTCTGCTCTATTTTCCAAAAGTAATCATGGGAAAAATAAAGTGCTCAAAATTCCATGGGTAGCTGCAATTAAAGTCTCAGTGATAGACTAGTGATTGTGTGTAACCCGAGACATCTGGAAGCTGATCAGGACCATCAGAGCCAGAGTGGTGGCAGGTGCAGCGGCTCACGCTTGTCATCCCATCACTTGGGGAGGCTGCGGTGGGGGAAATCACCTGAGGTCAGGAGTTTGAGACCAGCCTGGCCAACATGGCCAAATCCCATCTCTACTAAAGAAAAAAAAAAAAAAGTCACCGGGCACGGTGGCGTGCACCTGTAATCCCACCTATTCAGGAGGCTGAGTCAAGAAAATCGCTTGAATCCAGGAGGCAGAGGTTGCAGTGAGCCGAGATCGCGCCACTGCACTGCAGCCTGGGTGACAGAGCAAGACTCCATCTCGGAAAAAGAAACAAAAAGCCAGACAACCAGGGAGCACCTGAGACTGGGCTGTGTCGGGGAACAGGGCGCTGAGAAGGAGCTCTGTGGGTTCAGCCTTCACACTTGTCCTTGAAAGAAGAAGGGGGCATGGATATACCCATGGAGGTCTGTGTATGCTAGTGAAGTCGCCTTGTTTAACTATTACCAAACCACCCAAAGAGGCTGTCACAAAAATCAGTTGTAAATATGGGGATTTGGAGGCTGTCGTGAGCCTTCTCTGCCAGCAAGAGTCCTGTGTTTTGCAGCTTCTGTGTATTCCTGGGATCTCCCCCACCCCTGCTCCACTGCCAGGCAGCAAGACGAGGAGGCCTGTGCCAGGTGGGGGCAATTGCATCATGTCCTTACTTGAAACACGATGATTCTCTGCTGGTCCCTCCTTCCCTCCCTCGGTCAGTGAGACATTCATTGATTGGGTTGCTCTGTGTCAGTTCCAGTGCTGTGTGTTTTGGATACAGAGGGAGGGAGAGAGCTTCACCGTCTTGCCCCAGGGATCTTGCGGTCTGGGAGAGGCAGTAGACAAGTCACAAAGACCAAAACAAGGCAGTTTTGTGGTTGGGTTGTGTCATAGAAGTAAACAGTGGTGATGTGTGTAATCTTTCTCTGTTTAAGGCTGTGTCTTTAAACAACAAAATTACTTTCAGGCCACGTTGGGGGGAATTGTTTAAGTAGCCTATGAAGTGTGCATTAAGCCTATTATAGTTGAACTTAAGTATTTGAAGGAAATAGTACTGTGTTCTGTGGTGTTTTGACGAAAAATACTTACATGTGCACATAACACTTACCCAGAGGCTTTTCTTCCAGAGCTCTTTGACATCTGTCTTGCCCGAGCCAAGGAGAGGTGGCGGTCCCTTAGCACGGGAGGCTCTGAAGTGGAGAATGAAGGTAGAGTCTCTTCCAAAACCAGCCGGCTGCTGTGCTCAATTGTGTCTGTCATTCTTTATTACATAGTGAAGAAAATGGACTTAACCACGGTTGAGAGTGATGTGGATTCATAAAAAGCTCCACGAGAAAAGGGTTTTTTGTTTTTTTTGTTTTTTTTTTTAAGCAAAAATTAAAGGTAAAAAGCTTTTATAAGAAATTGGCCGAGTGTGGTGGCTCACACCTGTAATCTCAGCTCTTTGGGAGGCCAAGGTGGATGGATCACCTGAGGTCAGGAGTTCGAGACCAGCCTGGCCAACATGGCGAAACCCTGTCTGTACTAAAAATACAAAAATTAGGCTGGGTGCAAGGGCTCACGCCTGTAATCCCAGCACTTTGGGAGGCTGAGGTGGATGGATCACGAGGTCAGGAGTTCACGACCAGCCTGGTCAACATGGCGAGACCTCGTCTCTACTAAAAATACAAAAATTAGCCAGGCGTGGTGGTGGGTGCCTGTAATTCCAGCTACTCTGGAGGCTGAGGCAGGAGAATCACTTGAACCCGGGAGGTGAAGGTTGCAGTGAGCCAAGATCGCGCCACTGCATTCCAGCCTGGGTGATAAGAGTGAGACTCTGTCTCAAGAAAAAACAGAAATTAGCTGGGCTTGGTGGTGTGCACCTGTAATCCCAGCTACTTGGGAGGCTGAGGCAGGAGAATCGCTCGAACGCTGGAGGTGGAGGTTGCAGTGAGCCAAGATCTCACCATTGCACTCCAGCCTGGGTGACAGAGCAAGACTCCCTCTTAAAAAAAAAAGAAAGAAAGAAAGAATGAATTAGAACATCCCAGTTCCTGAGAGGTATTTGTGTCCTAACATGCTGGAGGGCCGGTCATAACCAATATCACTCCTTTTAAAGTTGTTCACGTGACTTCCAGTAGCCTGGTGTCTGGGATTAGTTGAATACTGTCTTCTAGAGGAGCTCAGAATTACAGAGAGAAGAACGCTGCATGTTTGCTAGATTATGCCTTTAGCGTTTTCCGTAACACACAAGAATGATTACTTCTGTTGGTTATTCTATTGGTTACGAAGTACATGATTTTACTGATCATTGTTACAGTCTATGTGGTATTAGAATTCAAAGAAGTATAAAACAAATTATTTATGATTACTTGTTAGAAATATTATACACTGGCTGGGCACAGTGACTCGTGCCTATAATCCTAGCACTTTGGGAGGCTGAGGTGGGCAAATCACTTAAGGCCAGGAGTTCAAAACGAGCCTGGGCAACAAAGAAAGACCCTGTCTCTACAAAAAGATAAAAGAAAAAAGAAATATCACATGAGTATAATACCGCAATCGTTTCTACATCTAGTGATTTCCACTGAAGATGTTAAAGATGTGTGACGTGTGTGTGTGTGTTTATGCTTGGAGTTTCTTTGTGTTTATTCTCCTCCTTGTCCTTCCTTTCCACTGATTGTTATTGGTGAGAGGTATTATGTCAGATTTTGATATCAGATGCTAGAAAATACCTAATGAATATCTGATATCTAATCTAGAATTAGCTGGTGCTTTGTTCTCTAAGAAACCCTGCAATCTGTTAAATACTCTGAAGCTGCACTGTGAGTCAAGATGTGATTACGTCAGTGTGCTTCTGAAGAACTTTTTTGCGTCTTTCGTTCTTGTAAAACTTCAGAGGCTCATAATTGTGCTACATTCGTGCCCTTGAGGAATGTAATGATTTTTGGCATCTTTTGACAGATGCTGGTTTTTCAGCAGCAGACAGAGAAGCCAGTCTGGAGCTTATTAAACTGGACATTTCTAGAACGTTTCCTAATCTCTGCATTTTCCAGCAGGTAAGTAGGTGGTGACTTGTTGCTTTCAAGTATGTTTTGTCTAAAATTCATAGATGCTGAACTGCGTATATTTGTTGTCAAGTTTGAAAGGTACTTGGGTTTTTGTGGGTGTTAGGAGGTAGGGTGGATGTTACTGTTAAATACATTTAGATTTTTTAAAATAAGTAAGTGATCCTTTCCAACAAATATTTACTATGTCCATACTTGTGCTCCAAAAGACGATTCTGTCTTCCTCTTGAGATACATGTCTTGGGGCCCTCTGGTCTGAGAGGGTGGCCATGGGTGGCTCTGGCTCTGTCTCCTGGCGCTTTCCTGGACACTCCTCTGCTCTCAGGACTGTGTGTAGCAGTCTGCGCTCAGCAAGGCCATGGCGGTGTGATGGGCTTCGGCTCAGATGAGCCCAGTGCAGTGAGCCCGTGTGAGGAAGGGAAATCCCTGGCAACCAAGGTGGGTGGTCAAGCCAGGGTGATAGGTTTCTGAGCAGGTGGACCAGGAGAACGGTACAGCTGAGGGACAGAAGCCGGCTGTGGGAGATAGGACAGGCTCCTTGGATGGCAGGAAGAGCAGAGTGGAACCTCCTTGTGGGCATCTGAGCGCAGGACAGGGCTGCCAGCGGTAGGTTGTGGGGTTATCTGAGCTGAAATCTTTAGAGACCTTCTATTCTTTGAGCCAGCAGACATTGATCTGGGGGTCTTTTGACCCATTTCTTGTCTATAACGGGTTTTTGCGGCAGGGGGGCAGTTCTTGCAGAATACCTCTGCACCTGTCCCTCATCTGTTCTCACTGCCTTTACTCAGTCAGGTTCTCGTCTTTGTGGATTTCCATGTGGGTCTTCAGAAATTTTTTCAGAAGAGGAAAGAGAGGGAATCTACAAAGCTACCAGCAGCCTTGGTCCTGGTGTCTGGTGCGTGAGCCCGATGAGCACCCCACTGGCTTGCAGTAGGCAGTTGACTTAGCTGGGAGCCTGTTTCCTGGAACCCTGCTTCTCCCACAGGGCAGATTTCAGCTTCTCTGTCCTTTTCCCCCAGTTCGTCTCCATAGGCCTCAGTGCACTCCATGCTTTGCAGCCCCTGCATCACTCTCTTGGAGCTGCTCCTGTTTCTTGCCCTTGGAGGGGAAAGACTTTCTTCCCCCCAGCCCAAAAGGCCCTTCCCCACCCTCCACCCACAGTTCACGTGCCCCTCACCCCGCTGTCCAGGAGAGGCGGCTCTAGAAAGGAGTTTCACCTTTGATTTCAAACAATTTGGGCTTTAATCACAGAATGCCTTCTCACTAGCTTTGGGCAGATCTGTCTTTTTGAGCCTTAGTTTGTTCATCTGTAACACAGGATGATCATACCAGCCTAACAGGGCCGTTGACAGTACTTGGCAGATAACAGTGCTTTTTGTCATTAAATCTCTTGAACGTAATTTGAAACTAAAAGAACTAAATCCAACCAGAGGTCAAAGAGCCATATCCTACCAGGTGGCGGCAGAAGTGTGTGATGGAAGAGGTGGTGGGTAGAGGCCAAAGAAGTTTCTTTCCAGGTCCAGTGTAGGGACCTCTCAGCCCTGGTAGAAGGAAGCTTAGTAACCTTTCTAATGAGCAGAGATCGAGTTTGCTAAAAAGAAAGCAAAGAACAGTTGAGGGGAAGTGGGGGAACTGAGATGTCCAAAAGCAGTTAAGGTCATTTATTATTTTCTTCTTTTTTGAGACGGAGTTTCGCTCGTTGCCCAGGCTGGGGCGGAGTGGCACGATCTCGGCTCACTGCAACCTCCACCTCCTGGGTTCAAGCGATTCTGTTGCCTCAGCCTCCCTAGTAGCTGGGATTACAGGTTGCCCACCACCATGCCTGGCCAATTTTTGTATTTTGGGGAGAGAAGGGGTTTCACCATGTTGGCCAGGCTGGTCTCGAACTCCTGACCTCATGATCAGCCCACCTCAGCCTCCCAAAGTGCTGGAAATACTTAGGTGTGAGCCACGGCGCCCAGCTGCATCATTTTTTTCATTTAAGAAATGACATTTAGCACCAAAGTGAGATGGAAGGATCGAAATTACAATGGTAGAAAACCTTTGAAGTTAAAAACATTTAGATTTAAGAGAAGTTCAGTGTGATGCTCTTATTTTCTTATTTAGCCTTGGCCTGGATAAAACTTTATTACAGTCACACTAGTCCTTAGACTGGCATTTGGTGCCACTGCAGACCCTCACCCCCACCCTAGCCCTGGATGTTGTCATTTTCACCCTCTCATTGCTGTTTTTCCTTTTGTCCCTCTGTGATGTGGAACTGTCTCTTCTTTTACTTAGCTCTTTTCACATGCTAGAATATGGTGGTCTGGGCCATGGCATTCTTTTGTAAGCCACCTGTGGTCACCTGTGGAGTGACTTCTTATCTCTCACTGTGTGTGATTTTTATTCCTTGTGTTAAATGTAGGTGCCTGGTAGACATAGACCGTAAGTGTTTGGGACTGAACCTGTCCTTTTGTAGTATCTTCGTACATGCTAACTTCAGCATGAGGCATCTCTGCACTTTCTTATGTGCTCCATTGGGAAAAAAATTCCAACACTTTAATTTTTGGAAGCAGTTATAAGAGCAAGTGGAAATGTTAGAGGGATGGAAGAGCTGGGAGAATGTTTAAACAAAATGGTAGCCACCAGGACTTAGAAGAGTATATTTCCTCAACTTGCCATTCAGAAAACCAATAGAAACAAGGAGAGTGATAAGCCTGGGAAGAGAGGCAGAAAGGATAGTCAGGATGTGGGGCACAGTGGGAGACGACCTGAGTGACACTGAGCAGTCACCTGCCTTGAAGAGCCCCTGTATACCTGGCTCTCCTGGTAGACTTTGAAAGGGAACACAGTTATACAGCAGGAGCCAAATAAAGGATATTTGTCTGGGGTGGTGCTCCTGCCTGGCCCTCCAGCTTCTTTTCAGTGCAGTTTCATAGCGTGAGCTGCAGACTTCCCTAGCTGTGAATGGGTAATTTGTTAAATTCCATATGCATATAGAGCTGCTGGCATCATGCTTGGCGTATTTCATAATGCTGAAAATAGCAGGAGTGGCAGTGGCAGCAGTAGTAGTATCGGATGTTCTTGTGAGCACTAACAATCCTTATGCATGTGTTGTTTTTGCTGTGTTGATCCTTTTAGGGTGGTCCATATCATGACATGTTGCACAGTATTTTGGGCGCTTATACTTGTTACCGACCAGATGTGGGTTATGTAAGTGAAGTTTCTCAGTATTTTATAATATTATTATCTAAAAGGAAAGTCAGATATTGTCCAGCGCATGTTAGCTGCAAATGTCAACCCAGTGCCTTCGTTTTTGCCAAGGAGTATGAAAAGTCTCGTGGTAAGTGAGTTGACTCAGTTTCCTCTTAAAGAAATTGAGTTGTCATGGCTGCTCTGGGGCATTAATCACATTTTAATCGAATGCAATTTTTATTTTTGGCATGTGGACTTTTTTCCAACATTAAATCAAAGAAGACTTAACCATGTTAAAAGCAGCAACCATTAAAACACTGCTGATACTGCTGTGGCTTCGCGGATGTGTGTGCGCACGCATGGTTTGGTCTTAAGCTTACTGAGATAGATACACGTGTGTACAGCAGCGGGACACTGGACACAGGAAAGGGCAGTATTTCAGATGCTGTGGGCCTAAGAGGGCAGGTTTAGGGTTTTCTATTTGGGGGATAGGAGCAAGGGTGGGGACTGAAGGAGAGCAGGCCAGGTGGCTGGGGTGGCAGGGTGGTGGTTCTGAGTGAGGGCAGTTCAGCGCTGGGTGGCCGGGGAGTGGGGCGGCTCTGGGGACCCTTCTAGTATGAGGGTGGTAGGTTTGTCTTTGCTAAAATGAGCGTGCTGCGGTGCCCCTGTGGCCACTGTGATTTTAACGTGCCTTTCCTTTCTCAGGTCCAGGGCATGTCCTTCATAGCGGCAGTGTTGATCTTGAACTTAGATACTGCAGATGCCTTTATTGCTTTTTCTAACCTTTTGAATAAACCCTGTCAAATGGCGTTTTTCAGAGTGGACCATGGCCTTGTGAGTATCCTCTGTGTTCGGGCCCTGGGTACTGTGTGTGTTTCAATGTCAAGAGTTACTTACTCGTCTGTGTTTTCAGTGGAAAAACAGAATATATTTTCCCTCTGTGGAGAGATGTTTAGAGTAAGCAGCACTGCAAGGTGGAGGGTGAGTTTGAGTAGTGTATTGCATGGAAGCTTAAAGAGACCTGGTTAGTAGCCATATGTCTGGGTTTCTCAATACGTTCTCTCAGAAAAACAGTACCTGGATTTTGGAACATGTATTCTTTCAATGAAGGAAGAAGTGTGGCTCCTGCTTAAGCACACACACTTGGTGTCAAAGTCACAGCTTGCTGGCAGTGCCCATGTTTGGACCTGTGGGGTAGAACACGTTGTAACCGAGCTGTGTTGCTGCTCATCGTCACCCTGCTTTGTGAAGCGTGCCCACACTCAGGAGAAAGGAGACACGTTGAAGACCATACTCCTTTAGTTTTTGAAAGGCAGCCATTTGTTTAGTGGACTGTTCTAGTCTTTATGACACTGCATAAGTGGGAGGTGGTGACAGTGGGGGGTGGGGCTTACATGCCTCCCAGATAAGCCCTCTGCACCGTTCCAGTGAGGAGATGAAGCTCAGAGTGAAGGGACTCGTTCAAGGCATGCATCTGGTAAATGGAGGAGCTGAGATGTGAATCCGTTCTGGTTCCTAAGTCTTTGTTCTTTCTGTAGCATAGACGTCACCAATTTGACAAGCCCATCAGCCTTTTTTTTTTTTTTTTTTTTTTTGGCAGAGTCTTGCTCTGTTTCCCAGGCTGGAGTGCAGTGGTACAATCTCAGTTCACTGCAACCTCCGCTTTCTGGGTTCAAGCGATTCTCATGTCTCACCCTCCCTAGTAGCTGGGATTACAGGTGTCTGTCACCATGCCCGGCTAATTTTTTGTATTTTTAGTAGAGATGGGGTTTTGCCATGTTGTTGGTCAGGCTGGTCTTGAACTCCTGACCTCAAGTGATCCATCCACCTTGGCCTCCCAAAGTGCTGAGATTACAGGCGTGAGCCACCGCGCCCATCCATCATTGTCGTGATTTGCTGATAATTATTACCAGTACTTCAAGACTAAAATGATCTAATAGTTTAGATCATCTAGAGAGTATTTCTTCCTTGATATCTTAAGGTTTACTGAGTATGTCTTGCTCAGATACTACATACATAAAGTATTTAGAAGCTGTTGGTAAATTTGGTAGCTGTTACTGGAACTATAAATTGGCAGAGTCCTTTTGAAAGACAACTTGGTATTAAGTATCAATAGCTGTAAATAGCATTGGTGTGCAGTTCTGCTCATAAGAATCACTTCTAAGAAAGTCATAAATGTGGACAAAGCATTATGCACAAAGATAGTCATGACACACTTATTTACGATTGTAAATGTGAGAATCGCTGAAAATGGGGTTAGGAGAATGTAGAATGGTCAATTAAATTTGGTAAGTGATCAGTAGTGATGCTTGCAAAGAACTGCATTGTGAGAAAGTGTTCAAGATGTTAATTTCTTCATTATCAATTCTTACATAATGTATGTAAGATGAAACATAAACTATAGTGACTATCGTATTTGACAATAAAAGGAAATAGGCCACAGAATTACTAGTGTTTATGGATTGTTGAATGATAGATTAATAGTGTTTATGTGTTTCCTAAGTTTTCTACAGTGAGTGTTTACAGATATGACTTTCATAATCAGGTAAAAACTTACCTTTCCACGAAAAGTAATGGTCAGAAACGGAAAATAAATCTTGAGGAAGCGTTTTTACTCTTGAAATAACTCATTGACACAGTATATACTGGCCTTATGTTGCTTGTGATACTAATTCCTGGAAATCCTGCATGTAAATTTAATTTTATCTTTTTATAAATAAATGATTCCCATCTAAATTTCTGCTGATTTTGAAGATAAGACCCCAGCTTTCTCTTTGGAAACATGATAGAAATTGTGCTTAGGAATCGTGGCTTGTATTTTTAAGGAGAAACCATGGAGTCATAATGTTGAGTGGGGTCTCCATGACAGCAGCAGGTTTTCTCCCTGGCAGCCCTGCTGAACTTAGGGCTGTGTAACTGCCGGGGGATGTCCTGTGCGCTGGAGGATGCTGAGCAGCTTCCCAGCCTCCACATCCCCGTGCCAGCAGCACCTGCCCCCAGTTGTGACGACCAGAAGTATCTCCAGACATTGACCAATGTTCCCTTAGAGGCAAAACCACTCCCTTTTGGGATCCACTGTCTACAGTACAGCCCCTCCTTCAGATGCACAGACACCAGAGTTGTGATCTGCCCCCAGGCGCCCAGCTGGCGAGCACTGGAGCAGAACTGGGCCACCATCGGATGGATGCTGCCCCTAGTCCAGTTGGAGTTCTTTCTGCTGTCAGCACTGCTTCCCAGCTTTGTATGTTTCATTTCCTTAAAAAACTGTCAACTGTTGAAAAGCAAGTTCCATAAACTACGGGCTATAACGCCCTCCTTTCCTCCTTTCCCTGTAGTGTTTCTCCCTCGTTGCATTCAAAGGTGTGCATCTGTCCGCTGGAGCGGTGCTACCCTTGACTCAGACACGAGTCGTGTAGCCCCCTGGAAGTGCTAGGGGTTGGACGAGGCGTGCGTGCTTTTCCAGATACTTTTCCACAGTTCGTACATTCCTGGTTTTTAGGATAGAGTGAGTCTGTACAGGCTCCACCTTTGCAGCAGGGCAGGCACAAATTCATTCCCAGTTTTACCATGAACGAAGCCTGTGCCCTTATTTGGCAAGTTCCGTAACTGCTTTGGGTTTCAGTTCCCTTTTCTATGAATTGAAGAAGATGAGGTGTAGCCATTGATGCCATTGTGAAGATTAGAAATAGTACTTGTTTATCAGTAAGTTGCCATTCAAAATGTATTAGTAGTTACGTAAGAAGGTAATTGTTAGAATCTAAAGATATACGTATATTGACTTTTTTTGTAAACTGGAAACTTGTGCAGATAGTTTCTGAGTAAATTTCATATTATCTCCCTAGATGTTGACTTATTTTGCTGCATTTGAGGTATTCTTTGAAGAAAATTTGCCGAAACTGTTTGCCCATTTCAAGAAGAACAACCTAACTCCAGATATCTACCTAATTGATTGGTAAGACTGGCTTTTCCCTGTGTTTTCACAGCATTTCTCAGCCCTTGCTTGTTCTTCACTCTCTTCTCTGCCAACTTCTTCACGGCCCGGCTGAGTCCTCATGTCCTGCTCTCCAGCCTTCCCTGATGTCCCTGCCCCTGAGTTTTATTTCTGTCAGTACCTCCACCTGGCCCTCCTGAATTCCCTCAAGGGGAGAGATGGTATCTTGGGCCTGTTTGTGTCCATTCCTTAAAGGACCAAGCACCAGCTCTGTGCAGGCTCTCACCGGGTACAGAGGTGGCCTGAGGAGCAAGGCCAGCGCTTGCCTGTCAGGAGCTCCTGGCTTGTGGGTGACACGTGTGTCTGTGGGCACTGTCCACGTGAGATGAGTGCTGTCTTGGAAGGCAGGAGGTCCTGGACCCAGTGCAGGGGTCGGAGTACACGGAGCGAGGGTGACCAGCTCATGTGCCATTCCAGAGTCAGCAGGCACTAGCCAGGTCCAGTGGGGTAGAGGCTGAAAGTAAAGGGCAGAGGACCGCAGGCGTGAGGTTGGGAGGCCAGGTCACGGTGGCTCTTAGACCTGAGCTCTGGAGCTTGGGCAGGATTGCGGGGCCGGGGGAGTGGCAGAGGCTGCTGCTTATGATGAGGGTGGGGCAGATCCAGCTGTGAGTTTTAAGTTACCTGGGAGGCAGGAGAGCCTGGGAACAGAGAGACAAATTAAGGGGGAAAAAGCCGAAGTAGGTGGAGAGAAGGCCCCGTGGAAATACTGTGGGTATGTCGAGAATCTGGTCAGTTCCTGACTGCGGGTTGGGAGAGGGATTTGCTGATGCCTTCAGCTGAGACCAAAGACAAAGGGAGAAGATTTGGCCAGGGCAGTTAGTGGATTTGTCTTCAGACGGGTGATTTTGAGGTGCCTGCGGGACATGTAAGTAGAGGCGTCCTGAGACAGACAGATACGAGGATCCTGAGAGGTCTACGCAGCAGCAGTAGGCCAGGCCAGTCTTCATGCCGTGGTGAAAGGGGCTGCTGAGGATGGGGTGTGGCTGTCAGCCCAGAGAGCACCGTGTTTGAGGGCCAGGTAAGAGGGCTGGGAGACCTGTGCATGGAAGGGAGCAGCCTCTCAGGTCACGCCGTGGGAAGAGGGTGCCTCCGGGATCCAGCAGCCCCAGCCCAAACCCAGCTTCTCCCATTATTGCCTTGTGGCCGTGGGGAAGGCTGTGAAGCCCTTCTGAGCTCCCGGTTCCTTATCTGGAGACTGCAGTGATTCACCCCACACGGTGCTGCCGGGTGACCGTGCGGTGCCACCCGACTCCGAAGGGGCTCCGCAGAAGCAAAGAAGGTACTGTTTGACCAGAAAGGCATGTTCCACTAAATCGTATGGTAAATGTACGGCCACTGTGGACAGAGAGCCGGCTGGTCTGGTTTTGTCGTTGCCCACTTTCTTCAGCAGAAGGGAAGGTAAAATTCAAGTATCATTTGAAAGGAAGCTGACCCCTTAGCTGAAGCAGACTTGTCTGTGCCTGTAAGAGTACGCCTTTGGGATTCTTGGTGTGTTGCTTCCGTCCTAAATCCTGGACAGTTCTCACTCTGCTGACGTTTGCCGTGAAGGCTGAGGGGTTTGGAGGTTGAATCTTGTAGCTGACGCCACAAGGCGCTGGTGACTGAGGACAGGGAACGTGGGGCCGTGAGCAGCCCTGGCGGGGATGCTGGGCTGGCCTGCCTGGCTATGCTGGATAGAAGTGTTTAGGGCCCGTTTCAAAGGCACCTTTATTCAGCAAATGGTGATTTTCTTCACACCTGTGAACACGAAGCTCCTGCACAGGCCGCCCCACCGTGTTCGTTTGACCGTGAGCCCTGCCCATCAGATTCCTGGCTGGAGCCTGCGGTACTGGAGGACGGGAGAGCATCCAGGCAGGACCTGAGCCTTCAGCTTCTCCCTTACCTGTTTTAGGGCTTCTGATTAGCTTCTTAGGATTCTAGGCCAAAAGTCAGTAGTGTCTTAGGATTCTAGGCCAAAAGTCAGTAGTGTCTTTCAAACTTTTCCCACCTTTACTCGCAAAAGGAAATGCGTTTTAAATTGTGACCCAATGTGTGCAGAAACTTAACATGTATATGTGCTGGGAACAGTGGTTTCATGACCCAGTACCTAACCCTGCCTGTGTGAAGCCTTCCGAAATACTGTACTCTGTTCTATTTATTCCAAAAAATGCTAGGGATAATCTGCTTTCGTTGCCTCCACAATCCACTGGCTGTTGGCTGGGTCATGCCTGGCAGTGTGAAAAGTACAGGCCTGGAGAATATTGCTGTCTGCTTCTGTCCCAGCCTGAAGATGGTTGTAATCCATGTAGGGGCAAAGACAAAGGGCACCCGCATTTATTGACTTGAGTGCTTCTCACACATGCTGTCTTTGAACCCTTGGAACAACCTCTCCAAGCGCAGTGTAACACTTGTGTTTTATAGATGAAAAAAACTGAGGCTCAGGGCCGGGTACACTGGCTCATGCCTGTAATCCCAGCACTTTGGGAGGCTGCGGCGGGCAGATCACTTGAGGTCAGGAGTTCAAGACCAGCCTGACCAACAGGGCAAAACCCCGTCTCTACTAAAATACAATAATTGGCCGGGCATGGTGGCGCGTGCCTATAATCCCAGCTACTCAGGAGGCGGAGGCACAAGAAGCATTTCAGCCCAGGAGGCAGAGGTTGCAGTGAACCGAGATCACACCACTGCACTCCAGCCTGGGCGACAGAGTGAGCCTCTCTCTCCAAAACAAAAAAACAAATAAAACAGGCTCAGAGAGGCAGAGTGTCTTGGCCAAGGTCCTGATGCCAGCCAAATGCAGAGCTGGAGTTCAGACCCAGGTCTACCCAGCTCTAGAGCTGTGCACTTTCCCTTAGAGTCCTTTCTAAGGGGATTTGTGTAAGGCAGTGTCACCCATAAGATGGGTCCCATAGTTCAGGTTCCAGAGACAAGACCATCATGTTGAGTGTGGAACACGGGTTGGACTGTCTAATGAGCAGTGAGGCAGAGTAAATGAAAAGGAAGCGGTAAGGGTTCTTCGCTGCTGAGGCCTTTGTGCTGTGAGCTGGTTGGTGCCCAGGGCGTTGTGAATGCTGTCCACTGTGCTTTGATGAAGCCTCCACAGGCCTTATTCTAAAAGTGCTGACTGTGTTCTAGGATAAGCACCAGCTAGGATACAGTCTGTATTTGCAGTTCCAGTACAGGGCTAGGTGTATAGAAAGGCCTTAGTAAATATTTAAGTTGAGCTAAGCACAGGAAAGCCATGTGTTCATGATTTATTCCCTGAGTCAGCATTTATTGGTGGTCCGCAGTGACTCAGGCTCCTTGTTGGGTGCTGACAGTTAGGTGAAAGGTCAGATCAGAAATAGGGTGGGCAGTGGGGAGGAAGCAAAGGGGAAGAACAGACTTTACGTAGGACCTGTCCTAGAAGCTGCCATTTCAGAAGCACTGGTCACTGTGGTCTTCAGTGTTCAGGAGCAGGTGTACCTATTTCTGGGCACAGAAGAAGTCACTGAGACCCACTTCTCAATGTCACAGCCATGGTGTGAGGTTCAGGTCGGTCTGCCTTCAGGCCTTTGCTTTTTCTGCTGCATCAGGCCGCCTTTCCCAGAGCCACGTCCACACCCATCCCAGCCGGGCCTGCCTCCACATTGTGGGGCTGCACCGTGCCTGGCGGGGTATAAAGCATGCTAAGTTCCAGGGCTCAGCCGCTAACTGCCTGAGCAAGAGAGCCTTCCTTCTGCTCGCAGTAGGGACTGAGGGGCCTGTGGGTGTGGCCAGCTCAGCCTCCTGGGTGGGCTGAGTGGGTACATTAAAATGGCTACACCTGGGCTCAGAAAAATCTCCTGTCCTGCCCCACTGTCTGCAAACCAAGCCTGCTTCCCACCGCCCCAGCTCCACCCACACTCTAAGGGTGCCCACCGTTGGCTGCTGTCCCTGTGGTAAAGCTTCAAGAGTGATCTCTGTGTTCCCAGTGCCTGGCGCCATGCCCAGCTCAGTGTCCTAGGTCAAAGAATGTGTCTGTGCCTGAGGGTCGCCTTCCTGGGCTTAAAGTCAGGTGCCTGTCCCTCCTCCGGTGTACCCTGTACGCTGCCTAACCAGTAGCTCGTGAGGAGTCAGGGCTGAAGATTCGCTTTCCTTGCCAACACCACCTTCCTGGCCCTTCTTTAGTTGTGGCTTTCCACTCCCCACGGTGAGGCACGCGGTCAGAGCAGGGGCCCTCAGCTGTCTCGTCTTCCTACGGAGTTTTCAGTGTTTCGACTGTCAAAGATCTACATTTTGTAGGAGGACTGACTTTAGGTCATCTCACTTCTGAAAATACTTCCTATTGCCGTCCAGCGGCAGAATTAGCTAGAGGGGTGAGTGGGCTTTATAATAAACAATCTCGAGCTAGCAGAAGAACCAGGGACTGCATTCCACGTTCCGGTTAGCACCTCTGAAATGATGTTTAATGATCCTTGGAGATCCTGTCATTGCCTCGAGTTTCTACCTGAAAGGAAAGGTTCAAAAGGGAGTGACTGTTGGGAGGTTTCCGTTTCCACTGCTTCTTGCACTTGGGTCATGTCTGGCTCTTCACTTCTGGGGTACAAGTTGCCCCAAGAGCACCTTAGGAGCCGGGAGCATCTTGCTGAGCACGTCTGGCGTAGGCTGGGTCTTTATGGGCCTCTGGAGGAGGGAGGAGCGTCACCTGCCTACGCTGGAGACCTGCAGGGAGGGGCATAGCCTGTGTGTTGTGGGCACACCCTGGCCTGGCTGAAGTGGGAGCCCGCATTCTCAACGTGGTGCGCACGATATTTACTTCACGTCTGCTGGCCCCTGCCAAGTGCTGGGACAGAAAGACTGGAACACCTCTGGGCTCAGCGTGGGGAGGACTCTGGGACACAGAGGTGGATAGTGAACCTCTCTGGGCTCAGTGTGGGGAGGACTCCGGGACACAGAGGTGGATAGTGAACCTGGCTGGGTTCAGTGTGGGGAGGACTGTGGGACACAGAGGAGGGTATGTGAACCCCTCTGGGCTCAGCGTGGGGAGGACTCCGGGGCACAGAGGTGGGTATGTGAACCCCGCTGGGCTCGGTGGGGAGGACTCCGGGACACAGGGGTGGATAGTGAACCCCTCTGGGGTCAGTGTTGGGAGGACTCCGGGGCACAGAGGTGGATAGTGAACCCCGCTGGGCTCAGGGTGGGGAGGACTCCGGGACACAGAGGTGGGTATGTGAAACCCGCTGGGCTCAGCATGGGGAGGACTCTGGGACACACAGGTGGATAGTGAACCCCTCTGGGCTCAGGGTGGGGAGGACTCTGGGACACAGAGGTGGATAGGGAACCCCGCTGGACTCAGGGTGGGTAGGACTGTGGGACACAGAGGTGGGTATGTGAACCCCGCTGGGCTCAGGGTGGGGAGGACTGTGGGACACAGAGGAGGGTATGTGAACCCCGCTGGGCTCAGGGTGGGGAGGACTGTGGGACACAGAGGTGGATAGTGAACCCCGCTGGGCTCAGCATGGGGAGGACTCTGGAAAAGACGATTGTACCTCCTCTTGGGGTTGTAACAGGATTCAGTTGATAGTCCCTGTAAAAACATATGAAGCGAGCACTTGCTGTTGTGTGCAGCCCGGGGCCCTCATTAGTAGACAGGGCAGAGGATAGTGCTGTTCTGTGGATGCTGTCTTCCTCCTTCACAACAGTCCTGAACTGCCCTCTTCCTTTCCCCATGGCGCTTCCTTGCCTCTAGCAAGCTCAGACAAGCGGGTGGAACAGACCCGGCTAGGTAAGAAGTTTCTGGAAGTTGTGAAGACACATCAGCACAAACTGCCCCTTTCCTCCCGCGCGTATCATGAGGGAAATAGATACGCAGCTTTTGTCTGGGGTCTTTTCTAAGCTGAGAGACGCTTCAGATGCTTCATGTGTTTAGCAGCATAGAAATGTATCATTTTGGGCTGGGTGTGGTGGCTGATGCCTGTAGTCCTAGCACTTTGGGAGGCTGAGGTGACAGGATCATTTTAGCCCAGGAGTTCAAGACTAGTCTGGGCAACATGGCGAGACCCTATCTCTACAAATAAATTAAAAATTAGCCAGTGTGGTGGTGTGTGCCTGTAGTCCCAGCTACTCAGGAGGCTGAGGTGGGAGGATCACCTGAGCTAGGTTGCAGTGAGCCGTGATTGTGCAACTGCACTCTGGCCTGGGCGACACAGTGAGACCCTATCTTAACAAAAAAAGGAGAAGAATTATGTTATTTTGCATTAGTTGAAGTTGTACTTGAAATTACTTTTTTTTTTAACTTTTAAAAACATACTTTTATTTTTTACTTTAAAAAAAATACCATTTTTGATCTACACGATAATATGCAGCGGTTGGAGGGAAAACATAAACATCTTTTGGGAGAGAAAAACCCTTGAATTCTCTCTTCCCACCGTGGGAGGAGCACTGAACTGTCTCTGGGAAGGCCAAGGGGCCCTTCCCGTCCTGCCTCTGTGAGCCTGAGGGCAGCAGGGGAAGGTGGACCTTGAACCAGGAGGGCTGTGTGGACAGTAGACCCCTTGTTCCAAGCGGTTCTGATCCCGTGGCAGGGCTTCTGTGGGGCCAGAACAGAGCCTGGTGTCCCCCTTCAGTGGCCTGTTCATGGCTGGCTTTCGAATCTAAATTTAAATACAGCCCGTATTTGGAAGCTCCTGGTTTAAAATACAGCCCACATTTGGAAGCTCCTGGTAATGATGTGGGAGCACCTCTGAGCAGTGGGAGGAGAGAATGGGAGAAGAGGAGCCTCAGTTCAAGACTGTGGGGCGGGGTCTCTGCCCTTGAGGCACTTGCAGCCTGGAGCAGGGGACAAAAGTGGCTGAGGACAGTCTGGAGCTCTTGGAATGGAGCCCAGGGGCTGGAAAGGCCATGGGGCAGCTCTGACTGGGGCAGAGGGCCTGGGAGCTGCCTGCTGAGACGCCGGCCAGAGCCTGCAAGGCCCAGAAGATGCAGGAGGGTGTGTGAGGCAGAGGAGAGTGTCCAGGAGTGTCAGGAGTGTCCCTTCACTGGCTCAGTGTAAAGGAAGATGAAGAATGCCAGGGCCTCATGAAGGGGGGTGCGTGCAGTGCAGCGAGAATGTTTCAAGGAAACTTGGTCCAGCCTGAGGGTCAGGAAACGACCTTCCAAGAAATAGTGACACACAGCATGTGGGAAGAGCCTGCAGGGGACAGAGGCTGCAGTGAGGAGCCAAGCATGGTCGCAGCAGGACGTCAGCAGTGAGCGTCGCCAGGAGGTGGAAGCTCATAGGGTTGGAAATGGATTTGTCTCATGGAAATGCAGAGCAGGGGGCATCGTGGGCGTCGTGAATGGCATTCTGGGTCATTCCGGTGGTGACTTAATTTTATAAAGTTCATTACCTTTCTGGAGTAATTTATGGAGACTCACACATAAATCTCAGCTTAAGAATATTATGTTAAATAAAAAAAGAACAATTTGGGCTTGGGCGGGGGGGAAAGAATATTACGTTGTAGAAATTTATTTTGTTCTTTTTGTTCTCTTCTTTGCTATAAAAACTATCTGACTCTATATATATATAAAATATGTATGTGTATAAACTATATGAAAACCATCATTTTGGCCGGGCGTGGTGGCTCACGTCTGTAATCCCAGCACTTTGGGAGGCCAAGGTGAGTGTATCACGAGGTCAGGAGTTCAAGACCAGCCTGGCCAAGACTGTGAAACCCCGTCTCTACTAAAAATACAAAAATTAGCCAGGTGTGGTGGTGGGTGCCTATAATCCCAGCTACTTGGGAGGCTGAGGCAGAGAATTGCTTGAACCTTGGGAGGTGGAGGTTGCAGTGAGCCGAAATCACGCCACCACTGCATTCCAGCCAGGGCGACAGAGCGAGACCCTGTCTCAAGGAAAAAAAAACAAAACACAAAACATTGTCGTCTTTCCCCATCCGTTTTTTTCTCAGGACTCTGCTTTTTAGCAGATGTAGGGGGAGTCTGGTTTCCGTGTGTGAGCGGGCACACAGATAGCCATGCAGGCCGGGTGGGCTCCCCTGCACTTTCCCATAGTGTTAGCAAGCCTGCTCTCCAGGTACAATTGAGAATATCCTCTAGACTAAGGAAACAAAAGGTCTCTTTGCTCTTTCTGGAACTGCACCTTCTAGCCCAGGTGGTGAAATGGTTTTCTGGTTTTGAAAATAGCAAGAAACTCGGGCTGAAGGCTTGTGATTTTAGAATGAAGCTTCCTACCAAGTCCGTGACAGTGTTGCTTCCTTACGGTATGTGCTGAGGCTCAGACATCAGAACGTGGGCGTTGGAGTCAGGTTCAGAGTCTGGCTCTGGACTTACTGGTGGTGAGACCTGGGTCCGTTTAGCTGTTGTCCTGAGGCGTGGTTCCCTCAGGTGTGGTGAGGTGAGACAGCCCCTCTCCCGGGCATTTCCTGGCGCGCATGGGGTGTCCTTCTGAAGGGGCGCGCATAGCACACAGCACCCGGTGCGCCCCCAGCTTCTGTTGTTCCTCTGGGTACGAGTTTTCCCTGGCGTCCGGCTCTCCGTTCCCTCCTCTCAGTTGAATGAAGTCTAGATTTTTAGGCCTTCCTAGACTCTTACTGTTAGAAGGTTCTGACGAGGGACAGCCCAGAACATTCCTGTTCTCGTCTAAGAGCTGCAGGCTCTGTGCAATGCACGTCCACAACTGCAGGTCCTTGGGACCTGGAGGACAGGCTGCGTCTAGCAGAGCACCCCCTCGGGCAGAGTCCACTGTGGACAGAAACCCATGCCCCTGAGACTTGGGAGCAGGTTGACCAGTGTGCGGGGTTTTCTGTGGAATCTGCTATGGGAAAGTCAGCGTCACGCCGTGGAAGCTTTAGTGGCCTGACCTCCTGACCGAGTCAGCCCCTCAGGCCGAGTCCAGTGCCTACAGTTCAGAGGCTGCGTGTTGCCCAGCACTGTCTCTGTGCCAGCGCAGGAACTACTGAACCCTGGAAGAGGGGTCCTCCAGGAGGAGTGGAGATGGCCCCCACCCGGCTGGGGATCCCCACCTGTACCGAGCACCGGCAGTGTTGGGCAGGTTTTGAGAGCCAGGAACGTCTGGGAAGTCCTGCCGCCGACAGGACATTGGAATTCAGCGCGATTGCCAGACAGGGCACTAGATGTGGAGTTGGGGTGTGCCGTGGTGAGCACCAGGCTGGGGACCAGGAGCCTGTGGGCGCCCAGAGGAGGAAGGAGCCTCGTACCTGCTCCCAGGGCGAGGGGAACCTGTGCAGTGGTGCCTGAGTTGAGCCCCATAGCCAGGAGGAGCACCTGTCGGACGTTTGCTCTGTGGGTGGCACGGGGTACAGTGGTCCCTAAGACAGGATGCCTGCCCCACAGCGTGAGCACACAGTAGGGGCTCAGCACATATTCCTCGCGGGCAGGAGTCATTGCTGCCAGTCATTGGGAAGCTGTGTGCTGCATGATTCTGTGTGGAAGCTGATGGTGCTGTGTCGTGTGCGATGTCAGAATTGCCCTTCAGCGTGAGTGCAGGCCTGGCCCCGGCCCCAGCTGTTGCCTGAAAGTGACTAGGGGAGTGTTTTTCATGGAATCCGACTGGAATTCAGTGTTCTTTCTTTGTTAAGATTCAAAATCTGAAAAATTCCAAATTTTCCCCCTAGGATCTTTACCTTATATAGTAAATCTCTGCCCCTCGACCTGGCCTGTCGTATCTGGGACGTGTTCTGTCGCGATGGGGAAGAGTTCCTGTTCCGCACGGCCCTGGGCATCCTGAAGCTGTTCGAGGACATCCTGACCAAGATGGACTTCATCCACATGGCCCAGTTCCTGACCCGGCTGCCCGAGGACCTGCCTGCCGAGGAACTGTTTGCCTCCATCGCCACAATCCAGATGCAAAGCCGAAACAAGAAGTGGGCTCAGGTCAGCGGGCTTTGTGTTCTTGGCTTCCCACAGCGTAGCTGGCAAGTGGCGCGCTCAGGGAGGACCCTACATAAAGTGCTGTCTGAGGATGGAGCCCCTTTGAAGGAGGTCCCGGGCTGGAAGTGAGGGGGGCCGGGTGGAGACGTGGCTGTGCCACAGGGCATCTTGGCAGGTCACCTCCTCTTCAGGTTTCTGTCAACTGGATGGGGTGTGGATAAGGAAAGCCTTCCCACCTCTTCTGCAGTGGTGTTGGGAGGGTCAGCACTTTTACCATTATGGCGCTCTTTACATGTTAGAAAGTATTTTATAAGCCACGTCCCCCACTTTTTAAGAAAATACTGCCAGAGACAGAAAGCAAATTGGACCCACTTACTGAGCCCCGTGGCCATGCCCTGTGGCAGGCTTTTGTGTGCACCCTCGAGAGGGAAGTGGGGTTATGCTCTTCTTACAACAAAGGGAGGCCCAGAGCAGAGGGCACGGCTCCCTCCTGGGCCTTCCCATGCACTGCTGTGCCCTCTCTGGACTGTGTGCCCTGAGCAGCGGTGCAGACAGTCCGTATCCCTCGGCTGCCCTCCAGGCATCCCTCCTATGTCCTGTCCCCAGTGGGATTGCCCTGCATTTTCTGTTCTGAGTCTTCGTCATACTAAAAAGGAAAAAAAAACAGTCTGGGTTCTTGATCCTGCATATGCTCAGCATTGGTTTGAAGTCCTTGCTGATTGACGTCTATGAAGACTTTTACTTTTCTGCATGTGTTACACCATGCCTGGAGGATTTCGTTGTTTTGAGACAGGGTCTCGCTGTGTCATCCAGGCTGGAGTGCAGCCTCTGCCTCCCAGGCTCAAGTGACCATCCCACCTCAGCCCCCCAAAATGTCTATTCTTGATTTAACTTTTTTTTTTAATTAATGTAAAAAATAATTAATGTAAAAAATATTTACAAAAATAGAACAGCATAAAATAACGCACCCCACACGCCTGCCCTCCAGCGTCAGCGACTGTGGAGGTGCAGCCGCTGTTGGAGCTGCTTCCCACCTCTCCCCTTCCCACCCTGTTAAAGTGAGTCCCAGGCACCGTGTCACCTGTTGGTGTCAGCGATCGCTGAACCATATGGGCTCTTTTAACATAACTGCAATAGCGTTACCGCTCAGCTCCTAACTCCTTCCTGTCATCCGATATCCAGTTGTCAAATTCAGATGTCATAAACGGCTTTATAGTTTGCTGGAATCAAGATCTAAATAAGTCCATGCCTTGTGATTGGTTGAAAGCTCTGTTAAGCCTCTGTAATATCTATGCCACGCCACTTCTCACTTTTTAGCCCTCTCTTGCTTGCCTTTACTTGTCAAAGAAAACAGGTCATTTAGGCTGGGCACAATGGCTCACACCTGTAATCCCAGCACTTTGGGAGGCCAAGGTTGGGGGATCACTAGAGCCTAGGAGTTTGAGACCATCCTGGGCAACATAGTGAGACCCCGTCTCTACAAAAACTACAAAAATTAGCTGGGCATGGTAGCATATATCTGTACTTCCAGCTACTAGGGGGCTGAGATGGGAGGACCATTTGAGCCCGGGAGGTCAAGGCTGCAGTGGGCTGTGATCACACCACTGCACTCCAGCCTAGGCAACAGAGCAAGACCCTGTCTTTAAAAAAAAAAAAAAAAAAAGGTCGGCCAGGTGCAGTGGCTCACGCCTGTAATCCCAACACTTTGGGAGGCTGAGGCAGGTGGATCACAAGGTCAGGAGTTGAAGATGAGCCTGGCCAAGATGGTGAAACCCCGTCTCTACTAAAAGTACAAAAATTAGCTGGGCATGGTGGCAGGCGCCTGCAATCTCAGCTACTCGGGCGGCTGACGCAGGAGAATTGCTTGAATCTGGGCAGCGGAGGTTGTAGTGAGCCGAGATCAAGCCACTGCACTCCAGCCTGGGCAATAGAGTGAGACTCCGTCTCAAAAAAAAAAAACAAAAAAAAACCAACAGGTCATTTGTCCTGTAACATTTTCCACTGGGGGAGAGTTTTATGGCGTATACGTACATCCCTCCCTACACACATCACACCTATACATACACAATCACCCCGCACATACACAGATC